TAAGCTTTACTTTGCACATTGTAGTTCTTTTCACGCTGCATCTCCTGGTATATTTTGTTTTTCTAAAACAACTTATTAAGTGATGCAAAAATGAAATGGAAAAAGGCCGTTTTTTTTGTCCAAGGGAGACTTCTAATCAATTCAATCATATGCTTACAAAAGTTTTCTCTCTATCACAACAGAGTAGGAATATTACAGTTTGGTAATGGTTCCGATGTGAGGTACTAATTTTTGAAAATCAATTGTCTCAAAAGAAATTTTAAACAGTTCTTTATCTTAGTAGAAACTAATAGAGAAGTGTAGAATGGTTTGGTTTTTTCTACTTTCATTCTTGAGATATCAAAATTTTGCTAGATTTTTCAACAAAAAGCTGCTGTCCTGTTCAGGTGACGTGAAAAAAAAAGACTTTCGACCTCAAACTTTACAAGAACGAGGTTCTTAATGAGGTTAATTTATTCGGCGACTTTTACGTTTTCCTAGTATTTCCTTTCTGCAGATACAAATATAACAGTAAATGTTTGAACTAGTCTCCATGATGTTCAATACAAAGTATCATTCTTTGAATCTACGTCTGTAATGTCGTTTGATATTTGTGAACAGCTAGTGAATGGAACTCCTTGGTTAATTACTTCAGTTAAACCTCCTGCATATGGATGTGCATCAGATTTACTATTGAAGCAGCTGAAGAACGGTGAACCTAAAGAAGCAAGATCAAGAAAATATGGCAAATGAACCATAACTTTCATTTTTCCTTCTTGAAGATAACTGAAAACAATATTATTCATATGTAGTCCTGCATTATAATAATTCAATTTAATGGTATGCCTTATTGATGATAGTCTTTTCTTTGTATAACTTTTAAATTAATCTTTTAAACATTCATCAATAAGCCAAGACTCATTTATCATAAAAACCAAACAAACAAGCATTGGTTTTTCTTTGAATGAGTACCTTCTTACTGCTGTTGGACAACTCTCTTTTCCAGCTACTCATGTTTCCGATTGTCTTTTTATTTAGTTTTGCGAAGATAAATCCATGTTTCATATTCTATGACAGCATCAGTGGCCTTTAGACACCGCGTTCAAATTTTTGTAAACTTTTTAATACAAATATCAGTACATCGTTGTCATTGATCTTGATTGAATTCATGAGGATTTTCTTCCAGCGACTTTCGTCTATTTGAAAATCGATAAACCCAATCAGCAACCATATGAAGTGAACCTCACCTTGTTCATAAGCAGAAGTTAAATAATCATGAGTATCTGTTGTAGTGAGATTTAATAACAAATAAGTTTTTATTTATGAGTGTATACTCACTTTTTCCATTTGAAAATATGGATAAAAAAGATTTATTAAGAATTTGCTGCAAATAGATATTTGTAAAACTTCATTCATATGTATATGAACAAAATTAACTTTTTCACAAGATAAAATTCGGAATATTCAATATTTAAAGATAGGATACACTAGAAAAGTTACCACTTATCCATTGAAGTAATCTCATTGAGAACTTTGTTCGTGCAAAGTTTTAAGTTAAAACTTGAAATTAAATTTCTTATGTGAGCTGAGAAATACCACAGCTTTCTGTTGAATAACTCAGCTAAATATCGATATCTCAAGAACGAAGCTCAGCTAAACCAGATTATTCCACACATTTCTATTAATCAATAGTGCTCATCGAATGAGCATTGTGTCGGTCAAAAATGCGATGTGACGTCTACAGAGAGAGTCCATTGTCTAGAGCCCGTCAAGCCATACTTTCATACTCTCGATGAAATTTTCTAATCGGCATTGAAGTTATACCAAAGATATCAGACACTTTTTCCGATTTTTTTGTATTAGGTGACTAATGCATTCTACAGGTTTCTCAGACGACTAGAACACATCAGTTAAAAAAATTGTAGATCGAAACTTATCGTGACAGGCTTCAGGACCAATTCGACGGACTCTTATCTCATCAGTAACGCAAAAATTTTGAACTGAAAAAAAAAGTAAAGTTCACCTTTCGTCAGTAGACAATGAAAGAAAACACTGTATGAGATTCCTTTGGTTGGAGCAGTAATATTTAATTTTGAGAAAATGAAGTAGAGAACTGCTGTAAAGATCATTTATTCTTTTTTGATATTGAAACTTAGCAAGTTACAAAGATAAAACATATTCAGCAGCAATTTCTTTAAAACAAAAACAAAAATTATTTTAAAAAAGAAATACAAATAAGTTTTCAAAATTACCTAGGTTAAGTGCATGATCCATATCGGGATTATCAATACGATCAACAACAGCTTTAACAAAAATAACTAATGATGTTGTTGGTTTGAAACTTTCTGCCGAGCTGACTAGTACAATAGGCATATAACCACGATCGCCAACATTTGGATGATAAATAGGTGTAATAACATGAACTTCAGGTGGTTTAAATGGATATTCAGCTGGTAAGTTTATTTCTATTTGAAATGCAGCTTGATTATAAATTTGTGTTTTGGGCAAAATTCTTCCAAGAAATACATTTGATCCTGGATTATCCAAAGGTGTTTTATCAAGAAGAAATTGAACAGATGATGCATTATTATCTGCTGCTAAGCCTTGCAATTTTTCTATTTCAAGCAATATACGTTTTGTTTCAGTTCCTGTCATTTTTAGTTTCTTCGTCCGAAACAAAAGAAATATTCGTTAATATTAATCGAATCATTTTTTTATAGTTTTTTTTTTCTACGAATTTTTACGATAGGTGTTTTTTTCAACATTGGACTCTATAGAATTTAATTTATGTTTGAATATGTATGGTGCCCGCAACGGCAAAATTCAAGTAAAAAATTTTTTCGGCTTTTTTTACATCATCTGATAGAGCTTGAGCTGCTGATCATGAAAATCTACTTTTTAGCCTTAGTATATGCTTTCTTCCAACCGAAAAACACGAAATACTCGAAGGGTGTCGTTTTCTTCAAAAACACACATCTTTTCCAAAATGTGCGAAATTTTCTACTTTGTTCTTTTTTTCAGATTCGGTATCAAAAACTGAGTACAGACAAGTTGTTAAATCGACTCTAGATCCAAAACTCTACAGTGTTGTCAAACTTGAAACTTGAATTTAAGTATTCAACTATTCAAGTATTGAATACTTGAAGTTCAAACATTCAGCTATTCAATCCTTACATTATTGGCTTAAGAAGTATTACTATTCATATTAAATCATTTTATGATTTGAAGTACCTAGATATTCAGTTGTTTATTTATTGAGTTCAAGTATACAGATATCAAAGTATTCAATGGGATGAAATGTTGAAATATTTTTGACAGTGTCAGTAATCATTGTTGTGTAGGTCAGCAAGGTTTGCATTGTCTTGTAAGAAATTAGTTATGTATCATCTTTTGGTCAAAAGTTGTGGTACGGATACTCTTGGGATGGAAGAATTCGTTTTGATGGAGTTGTATTTGGTGTTGTTGGTTTTTCTATAGGTTCGATACGGTTTTTTTTTTCTTTTCGTTCATCACCTAAACTTCTTCATTGTGATGTTCTGTTGTGTCCATCATTTGAAAATAGCTGCGTGGTTGTGCTAGCTTTCGTCATCGTAATGGATCAGTAAGTGGTGCGCGTGGTGGACGTCCCGGTGAGGCAGCAACGATAGGAATATTGATGTTTGAACTTTTTGGTTGCATAGGAACACGTGGTGGAACAAGCGCTGGTGGTGATAGAACTGAACATGATTCTTATGAAGATGCATTCATAGTATTGCTATCGTCGGTTTCAGTTGCAATAACTGTTGCTGATGCGAGAGATTCTTGGTAGGTTTTCAGGAAAACATTGTACTAAGCCAGTCGATTATTGAATACTATCAATGTTGCCGCATCCCAATCTCGGTCGACCGTGACTTTAGTAAAAAATGTCATTACTTTGTGTGTGCCTAGCATTCTTTCTTTCGTTATAATCCCTACAAAGAAAATACCGATGCATCAAAACCTTTCCTGCTATACATCGTCGAAAATAAAGCTCTCAACAATCGCGTTTGTTTTTTAGGTATTAAATCCCACGAGGAATGATTTCGTTCATCATTCACGATCTAAGGAAAAGCCATTCAAGTGATGAAGACGGGAAAAACTCACGTGTGAAGCCTAACGATGCTCAATAATCTCATGTAGCTATGCAGTCCACACATTTCTGCTGTTTGCATCCGCTAGTGACGAAAAGACATATCATCATATACAGAAAAATGCCCTATAAGTCATAGTTTTTTCTTTAATGCAGATCAACACTGTCTTTATATGTACAACAAAGCCCAAACAAGCCATATCTCTATGAATAAAAACTCAGGATTCACAAGAGTCACATGCGTGGATATTAAAAAACCTTTCATAAATTTTTCCACAGTTATCATTAATTAGATGTTCATCGATACAATAGGCAAAGAATATACATATGTCTATGATTTCAAAAAAAAATGCCGATTAATACTCTCTTTATCTATCGAAAAAACGAAAACGAATTTTTAATTAATCTCTAAAAAGTGAAGATCAATAATATTTTGAACGATGGAAAAAAAAAGATATGACATTTTTCATTTTATAGTGAAGAACAATTAGACATTTATCAAGACAATAAGAATGAGAATGTTCATATCTTTATGATTTGAAAAACTATTGTTAAATAGTGTGCCCATATAGAGAAAAAGTAAAAATGAATTCTGCTTTTATCTAGAACGAGTGAAGATCAATAATATTCTCAGTGATAGGAAAAAATATATATAGAGTTCGTGTTGGAAGAGATATTTAACTGTATCGCCATTGATACAGAAAGCAGAGAAGGAGGATATCTAATAGAAAAAAATTGAGGATCAATAATGTTTTAATGGAAAGAACAGCGAAAGAGAAGTGGTAGTTTTATCTTTTAAAATTGTATGTCAGTTATACTTGCATCTATAGAAAATATTAAGAGAAGCAAGTTTTTCTTGAACAAATAAAGAATAATTATTTTTTGATGTACAGAGAGGCGAGAGATAAATGATATGTTTATGTTGAAAAGTTGAAACTAAACAATATACTTATGTGCGCTTAGTGGAAGTAGAGGTCCTATCTTTATGTTCCTAATGTGTTGCTGTATTATCTTTTTTCAAGTGTGTGCGTTTTATAACATGGCTTTAGAATAATACGTACTTGTCAATTGTATCCTAATGACGTAGAAAATTTGTACTGGTTAGCATTATCTCAGATTATAAATGAAAAAATTAATTAGAATGAAACGTACCGATGTTCTCTTTCTGTAGATTCTCAGCCGCTTGGTGCAATATGACAGCTTTGTAGCCACCATGGTTGAGACTTATATTTTGCTATGGTATTTTGGTACCTTTGGCAAGTAATATTACTTTTTCAGGGTGTTGTTGATCACCGCTATCATTCGAACGTGCTGAAACTTTTAGTCACCATGCTTCTGCTGCGCCGTCTTGATTTTGATCAAGACGTTCTTGTTCGTTGTGCTTTTGCTGAAATCTTTGTCGCATCTCATCCACAGTTTCGTTCACAGGACCCAGAAAAGTGAAATTGAGAATGTTTTAGAAAATTATGCTGTTGAATTGTCCTGTTAATTCACTTCCAGTTTTTCTTCAAATTCATGATAATTTGTTTAAAAGTTCTTTAAAAAAATAAAGGGTAAGAAAATGTTTACTTGTATGAACGAGAGACATATATTTCAACCTTAACCAACGACAAAATGGCTGCAAATCATATTTTCCGTGTAACGTTCGATAGAAACAATATAAAGAGCTGCGGTTTTCACCGTTGGAAAGAGGAGATGAAGACACATCGAATCACATTATGCATGTTTTTTTCATGTGATTTCTGAGGCTTTTAAAATCAATTTTCTAAAAAATTTTATCAAAAAGGAAAAAGCAAAAAAGTGATTTTTTTGCACAGGAATTGCTGCAAAAATCGACTTAGAGCTTCGAGTAGAATACCTATAAATACTAAAAAATTGAAGGTAAAAATTTCAGCGTTGCGTAATTTGATAGATCTTCAATTGGCGGTTTCAATGCACACTTCATGATTTTAAATTCACTATAGTCACCTATCAAGTACGTTGTTTGTCAAAAAGCTGAATTGAAAATTTTAGAAAAATCATGTCAAAAGGCCTCTAACATACGATTCGATGCGTCTTTATCTCTTCTTTCCAAGGGTGAACACCGCAGCTCTCTATCTTGTTTCTATCAAAAGTTACACCAAAAATACGATTTGCAGTCATCTTGTCGATGGTGGTTAATTTGTATGATCAGTTCTTCAAACTACTGTATTTTGTTAGGTATTTTAGAGAGCGTGAATAATCTGGCAATGTAATTAGTTTTTTCGAGGTGAAAACTGAATAATATAAAAAGCGAATGAATAAACAGATAGTAAGATGATGAAGGGCAATTTTACTATAACGCATATTCACCCGAAAAACAAAAATGTTATTCTATTTTGTATGGATAGCAGGTATGATGCAATGCACAATAGTAGTCTTAGTTGGAAAGGTCTAGTGTCATCAATTTTGACGGTGGATACACTTACACTATTAACTGCTAACTTAATCCATGTCAAAACAATATGGATAATTTGGTTCATTATTTGAAACCCATTACTTTATATCTCAAATAATATTGGCATGATCGTTGTGTTTTGTACCTAAGATATGGTCTTTATCTTAAGAGTGAATTCGTTGAAATCATGCAGCAAAAAAGAGATATAGAGAGAGATAAAAATATAGAATGTTTTACAGAGAATGAAAGAGAGAATGGTAATCACGTATTAACCCATAAGTCTATACAATATAGACTTTCTTCAACTAACTCAATATACTAGATTATATTATAGTCGTCGTTGAATATTCACTTATTAATTTTTTTTGACTTCTTCATCTAGTGTTCGTCTTTGAAAAATAAAGATTTCATTTATCTTGATTTTGTAATGATTAAGATTTTCTTTATCCTTATTCTGCCAAATAAGAGTAAAATTAACACTTTTACTCTAGACATGTGAATAAATCATGAAAAACAAACAACAATAAGATACGATTCTGAAGTGATTGTCGATTTTATGTTTATTGAAGAGTTTTTCAGTTATGAGAAAAATGGAAATTAAAATAAAAAGTTTTAGAGGATTTCCGTGGAAAGCTGTCCCAATCGATTTGATTTGGATTAAGAGAGAACTATATTAGAATATGCGCTAAATACAATACTGACATAAACAATAATTCATCTGTCGACATGCGTAGTTATGCGGTAAATGTTTGATTTTGTTGTTTTCTTCTGTATTTTGTTTTATGTAAATATATATCCTCCTTTTTTGTGTCTTATTCCTCTGTTCACAGAGGAAGGAATAGAAAGGTACAAGAACAGGGTGGGTGTGGGTGTAGATTAATAACTAAGACCCACACCCACACCCTCAAGTCAATTAAAGAATATGACTGGTGCTTCTACTTGATAGTACCAGTCACAATTCTTACTTCATTTTCCATCCCGGTCTAGTCTGCTTGATGCAGCGACAGACGAATATCTTTTTTTTTCGATTATCTATTCCTATGCAGATGCAATCGTTGTGGCACTTTCTATCACATGTAAAATAGAAAAAGACATTCATTCAGAAAAAAGAAAAACAACAAAATGACCGAG